CACTCCAGCGAGAGCAATTACACCTGCCTGAGCTCAGAGCACTTGACAATACTGCTTCACTCTCCAGCTCTCACAGGCCCACACTACAGAGACTCGCCACGATCAAAACTGCTTTTTAATGAGGAATTCAATCTTTCTTTGGAAAGCTGGACAGCAGAGACTGTGTAATGAGAGCAAAAATGCTGGTTTTTGTTGTTTAGATGCACTTCAGAATCTCGTGGGGCAGCAGAACGCCAGATACGGGATCATCAGGATCTTTAATGCACTTCAGGAGACCAGTGCCAACAGACACCTTCTCTATGTAAGTCACCCAGCGCTCTGGGACTGACCATTAACCTTGCTCCAGTTTATTTATATCTCAGGCTTTCACTTTCAGTCAGCGGATGTTCTCGTTTCTGCTTTCTGTTGAAATACTCTCATGACACGACAGATTTACATCTTTCACAGGGAAAGTGGCAGGAATGAACCTGAATGGAGTGTCACTCAAGCTGTTTTCACTGTTCATTTGAAGACAAGATGAAGATTAAATGTACTTGACAAATAAATGTCTCTGTTTCTGTTGCTAATTCATCAGCACGTTATTCGGAGAAACTGTAATCTTCATTGAATTTTATTGGAACTTTCTTTGCCTCTGAAACAACTAATGTAATAAAGGCCATGCGGGCAGAGAAATTAATCTTAACCAAAAATCTTGTAGCCTGGCATCTTCCATCCACCACATTTAATTTCTGCAGAATATAGAGCTTGAACAGTGACTGCATGCTTTTTTTTTTAGCAGCCTTGGTTTCAGAAAGTGTTTTTCACATTCATTTTATCCATAGGGATTAAAAATCCCTCAAATAAAGGGTTTTAAAGTGCCCCTATTATGGGTGATGAAAGGTTCATATTTTGGTTTTGGGAGTCCCCAACAACAGGTTGACATGCATGCAAGGTCAATAAACACTTTCATTGTCTTGCAATATGCATTTATTTTTACCTTACTTGCTCAACGACTCCCAAACGATTCGCTCAACGATTCATTTTTCCAAACCCCTCCTTTGTGTGACGCTAATCTGCGGTGATTGGTCCGATTGGTCTCATTTTCATTTCATAATGCCTGCAATGCCTGACAAAGCAGCGTTTGTGAGCGCAGTGCTGCTTTGTGTACAGCGTTACCGGGGAAACTGCTATTTTTACCGCTCCAAAAGCGGCACCTAGTGGCAAAGAATGAATTTGCATTTTCATTCAGACCAAAGCGAAAAGACCAACAAGTGGGCGGGCAATATGCTAATGTTTCATGTTGATGTCAACATGAAATGGCGTGGGATTCGTTTTAAAAACGACTCGTTTCAATGATTCAGAGTCGACTCTTTCTTTTGAGAGACAATAACTTTACACACGGTGCACTTTCAGATTTAAAACTTTGCAGGATGCTTTCATGCACACTGTTACACACTGCATGAAAGGTCATTTTCAAAAATCCATAATAGGGGCACTTTAAGCCATGAACCAAACCAACACTACAAACTTGATAAAGTATTTGAAAATTGGGAAACAAAACAGAAAGATACTAAATACAAGACCTCAATTACTTTAGTATACCTCAATTCTTTTATCCCATGTGGCATTAAAATATATTTAAACATATATTATTATATTAATATTTAGCAATATATTTTATATGTATATTTTATGTTATTTGTTACATTTATTATTATATCTCTATATATTCTATTATTTATTTAAATATTTTATTTTAATTTATTTTAATAACATTTAATATATTTTAGGACAACTCTGAACAACATATATATATATATATATATAATGTTCTGAATTGTCCTGAAATATATTAAATATGTATTTGAATTATTTTTTATTATTAATATTATTAATTTTTTCAAATATGCAAGGACACTCAATTATGTGTTTTTATGTTCCCATTAAAATTTAATACTGCTATGGAGAAAGTTAAAGGGAAGTTAACTTGTGGAAGCCAGCTGTTTTATTCTAATTGACTGTGAATATGCCACATTTTTAAGCTACATTTTAAACTAAATTAAATTTAAATTTACTCTAAATTGTTTTAAAATATATAGCTTTAACATAGATGCCTAATTTTGCTATGATCCAGTTTTCCAGGCTCATAGTTTTACGTGATAATACTATAGCGCCATCTAATGGTGAAATGATGATTATACACTGAGTGTGCATGAAGTTTTCTCTGTTTCTCCTCAGATCTTGTTGGAGATGCTGCTTAAAGAACTCTATCCCGAGCTGAGCGTGGAGGCCGTACAGGCCTGAACATCTTCACATCACATCAGAGGCTCAGGATGTGTTTCTCTAATGTGCTGGATGGCTGTTTTTGGTGTTATTTATTTTTTTTGTTCTGTTGTTTTATTTCTAAAACACTTGACTGACTCTGTAGTGCTGGATCTAGGAAGCGTCATGAATATGTTTGTGTTTTAATCCGTTGACGTGTTTCTCTCTGGTGAGATTGGAGGAACGGACCACATCCACTGCCAGCTGTCATCTTCAGCTTTTCTTTCTCTCTTTTGTTTTCTTCTAGGGGGTTTTGCTGTGTAATGTGAAGAACAGTGGAATGAGTGTTACACATCTGTAAAAAGAAGAACCCAGACCTCTGTAAACTCCCTACATATTATTGTGACCATTATGAAAGCTTTTAATCGTGCAATATGTCATGTACAGTTATTGTGAAGGTTCTGTTTGTGATATTATTATTAATATTGTTATTATTATAGAATTGTATTTTTACCAAAATAGACTAGAGCATTTATAAGCAATAAAATGCAAAAGAAGATTTGCCATGTGTTGTGTCTTTAATATAAGGTGATATTAAATGTATACATTAAAATGCAATTCATATTTTAAACTTTAATACAATTTCTTACAGTTTCAGTTGTTTTCATTTCACAGCTTAAACATTTCTTAGTTTCAATATTTATTTATTTTACTTATTCAGTTTGCTTATATCTCAGGTAGGTGTAATTATACCTGTAGAAATTTCAAATAAAACATAAAAAGTAATTAATATCTTCTTTCTTTATTCATCAAAAATATCTAGTTGGTTTATGTCTGTAAAGATTTCAAAGACAAAAAAAAGAAATAAGTATTTCATATCTTTAATATTTCATATCAACTTTATATAGTTTTACAGTTTCAATCACAATTATTTATTAAGTCATTCATTCTAGTTAGAAATCCCTAGTTAGTGTAATTATATAACATTTTGAAAGAAAAAACATTCATTTATTATTTATTGATTTATTCTTTAAAATTATCTAGTTTGTGTAATTATATCTGTAAATATTTCAGACAAAAATATGAAGTATTTCATATCTTGAACTTTTGTTAATTTATTCATTCTTCAAAAATATTTTGTGCGTAATTATACCTGTAAATATTTCAAAAATCCCAAAAAGTAGTCATATACAGTAGTTATGACGTACAGAGAAAAAATATTGTTTATTAAAATGTGGATTGTTAAAATGGAATATTAGAAAATTTTAAGTTTGTTGAAAATAATGTTTTTTTTATGTATACTCGTATATTTAAGACGTAAGCAAAATTTCTCAAAGAATTATTGAATATAAAGATTACATTTCTTAGAAGTTGGCGCTTGCATTTTCAACTCGATTTTTAAAAAGATTTTCCTTTGCATCGTTCTTAAATGGCACTGAAGTAATACTAAACATTTGAATTCATCAGCATCCCAAAAAAGCAAAGAAAAAAAAAAACCTGAGTCAGATATACAGTTGTGCTCATAGGTTTACATACGCCTTGTAGAATGTGCAAAATGTTAATAATTGAAACAAAATAAGAGGGATCATGAAAATTGCATGTTATTTTTTATTTAGTACTGTCCTGAATAAGCTATTTCATGTAACAGATGTTTACATACACTCCACAAGACAAAATAACAAATGAATTTATAAAAATGACTCCATTCAAAAGTTGAATCTTAGTACTTTGTCGTTTCCTGGATGATCCACGACTCTTTTTATATTTTGTGAAAGTTCATGAGTCCCTTGTTGGTCCTGAGCAGTTCCAACTGCCTGCTGTTCTTCAGAAAAATCCTGCAGCTCCGGCACATTCTTTGGTTTTCCAGCATCTTTTGCATATTTGAACCCTTTCCAACAGTAACTGTATGATTTTGAGATCCATCTTTTCACACCGAGGACAACTGAGGGACTCATACGTAGCTATTATATAAGGTGAAAACATTTACTGATGCTCAAGATGGCAACACAATGCATTAAGAGACAGGGGGTGTAAACTTTTGAACAGGATGATGATATGTAAATTTTTCTTTTTTTGTTTAAAGATCATATTTTTTCATTTGGTACTGCACTTAAGAAGCTACATAAATTCTTAAATGTTTCCCAGAAGACAAAATAAGTACAATTTACCCTGATCATCCAATTCAAAAAGTTTACACCCCCCAGCTCTTAATGCATTGTGTTGCCTTCTCGAGCATCAGTAAATGTTTTCACCTTATATAATAGGTATGTATGAGACCCCAATTGTCCTCCATGTGAAAAGATGGATCTCAAAATCATACAGTCACTGTTGGAAAGGGTTCAAATATGCAGAAGATGCTGGAAAACCAAAGAATGTGCCGGAGCTGCAGGATTTTTCTGAAGAACAGCAGGCAGTTGAACTGCTCAGGACCAACAAGGGACTCATGAACAACTATCACAAAACAGAAAGACAGTTGTGGATCATCCAGGAAATGACACACACTATTAAGATAAAAAACTTTTGAATGGGGTCATTTTTATAAATGCAGTTATTATTTTGTCTTGTGGAGAATATATAAACATCTGTTAAGTGAAATAGCTTATTCAAGATAGTATTAAATAAAAAATAACATGCAATTTTCATGATCCCTTTTATTTTGTTAAAATTATTAACATTTTCCATATTCTGCAAGGGATATGTAAACTTATGAGCACAACTGTATATCCATCAATTTCAGTGATGAGATTAAATGAGTGATCGCTGTTGTATGTGTGATTTATATCCTGCCGTGCACCACGTCCATTTGTAGCTCCTTGCAGATCTCTGGATCGATCCTGGCAGCCTGATGGAGGAAAAACGAGAAATCAAACTTAGGTACCACTGGACCTCCAAATGTCACCCACATCTTCTATTTTGCAAGTCCCAAACTTTTCCCACATTGCTTCTCAGTAGCAGTGCTTTTTACAGGTCCAATGTCAGAACTGGCATTATAATGGTAAGGTGGTCAACAGTACCTGTGTGAAGTAGCTCTTCACTCTGTCTCTGTTCTTCAGGACGCCTCGGCCCAGCTGAAGGCAGCGTGCGTAGTAAAACATGGCTATAGCGATGCCCTTCCTGATGTACTCCTCCAGACAGTCCGTGTGCCGTGCTATGGCACTGATGTCCTCGTATCCGGACACTCTGAGAGTCAAAACAAACCCGTTTTTTACCACAGAAAACAGAACGGTGTTCTTTACGGTTTCTGCAGGATGCGCTGTACCTCTCTCCCAGTGCGGCTGCTCTGGAGTAGAGCTTCCTGTGGTAGTAGCAGGCCGTCAGGTGACCCTGAGCGTAAACGTTTCCTCTCTCTGCCGCCTCCTTCAGGCAGAACAGGGCAGCGTCGGGGTCCTTCTGCACGCCGTGACCGTACAGATACATGACGCCCAGAGCGCCCTGAGACTCCAGACTGCCGTTACCACACGCCTCCGAGTGCCACAAGAACGCCTGCGGTACATCAACACATGACCAGACTGACTGAAGACAGAGACATTTAACAATAGTGCATTAGATCTCTGTTTCTCTGACTGATGATGATGATGATTTAAAGGGATAGTTCATCCAAAAACGAAATTCTGTCATAATTTACTCACCCTCAAGTTATTCCAAACCTGTATGACTTTCTTTGTTTTGTTGAACATAAAAGATCATTTGAAGAATGTTGGTAACATAACAGTTGATTGTCCCCATTGACTTCCATGCTATATCTGTCTGTCTGTCTGTCTGTCTGTCTGTCTATCTATCTATCTATCTATCTATCTATCGTTCTATCAATCAATCTATCTATCTATCTATCTATCTATTAGGGATATGCCGGTATCAAATTTTCATGTTGCGATTAATTGCTCATGCTTTTATCACGGTATACGGTATTGAAATTTAGTTTAAAAAAAGTGCTGTCATAATACAGTATAACAGGTTTAATAACTTTTTTCTTATAACAAAAATAACTGAACATTTAAATGCAATAAAGCAATACAGAACAATGTATAAAGCTAAAAGTTTTACACAGATTAAAGTGCAAAAGAACTATAAAGACCAATAGGTATCACTTTACAATAAGACCTCATTAGTTAACCTTAGTTAATGCATTAACATTCACAATGAGCAATAGCTACATTTGCTACAGAAGTTATTAATTATTAGTTATTAAGTCTTAGTTCATGCTAGCTCATTAAATAACACAGTTGCAACTTTCGATTTTAACGTGTTATTAAATATTGGAATACCTAAGATTAATGAATGTTTAGAAGAATTTTTCATTGGCAGTTTATGTTAACTAATGTTAACTAATGAAGCCCTAATGTAAAGTGTGACCGAACAATAAAGAATCAAAACACTTTCAAACAATATCTAGGGCATGTTGTAGTCCAGATTAAAATGTAAAAAAAGAAAATGCATTCAAAATTCTGAATAACTTGTAATATATAATTATTCACGGTATTTAGAAGAGCCCACGATAACAATATCGTGCATATTCATTACCGTGATATATCGCACTACCGAAAACCGGCACAAGTCTACTATCTATCTGTCTATCTATCTATCTATCTATCTATCTGTCCATCCGTCCGCCCATCCATCCGTCCGTCCGTCCGTCCGTCCGTCCATCCATCCATCCATCCATCCGTACATCCATATCCCATACTATGGAAGTCAATGGGGTCCATCAAGTGTTTGGTTAGTTACACACAAAGTCTTCAAAATATATTTTATGTTCAACAGAAGAGAGAAACTCATACATGTTTGGAACAACTTGATGGTGGGAAATGATGAAATTTTTGGGTGAACTATCAATTTCAGAAACAAGAATATATTTGAACGTTTTTTTTTTTCTTGAAAGATGCATTATTGGACAGTAATGGTCATTGGCAGTTGTTTTAAAAGTGCTTTAGAAATAAGTTTGTATTTGTAATGACAGTAGGTCAAAAGTGGATTTGAGGGACCATGTGACACGAAAGACTGGAGTAATGATGTTGAAAATTCAGCTTTGCATCTCAGGAATAAATTACATTTGTAAAAATATTCAAGGACAAAACAGAGATTTTAAATTGTAATATTATTTCACAACATTAATGTTTTTACTGTATGTTTGGTCAAATAAATGCAGCCTTGGTGAGAATAAGAGAATAATAACTTCTTTTAAAAACATTTAAAAATCTTGAAATTATTTCAAACTTCTTAATGGCAGTTTATAAAATATGTCATGCTTACCAAAGGATTGACCTATTAAAAATAAATGATAAAAAAGGAAAGAAAAAAAGATGTAGCTCATGCTCTAGTTAGCATTAGATATTTTGGTCTGTGTTATGAATTTTTCCTAACAATATGTTGCTTTTGTTAAGTCAACATTACAAGACAGAGAAAAGTAGGAAGAAAAAGTTTATTCACTTAATTTTAAATAAGTTAAAATAATGTTATAATATATATTATAAAAAATAATTATAATATCATTTTATTCTAAATATTATATTTATTATAATTCATATGTATTATTAATTTATTATATTATTATAATTATTAAAATTTATTATAAAACATTTGTTTGTGTAGAAATTTAGTCATAGTGTCATTTTATAGGCCAACTTGGATGGCTAATTCACTATGGGCTCCCTCAGGAATTTGCTATGGGTTTTTGTTTGGTGTATGAGTAGAATAAGGTCTGTGGTTAGCATTACTTAACTTCACATTCACATTTTTTTTACAACATAAATTATACAAAGTCATACATCAAATGTGAACTCTGAAGCCGCTGTGTGCTTTTAAAAATGTTTAAAAATTGCCATATGAGGACTATTGTGGTTCAGATTCATCAAGCAAAAAACTTGTGTGTTTCTAGTTGATCTAGAAGCTTGTAAGCAACTGTTCGAACAAACCATGAAAGTTTCTTCCAGTAATGCTACTGCAACCACAGACCTTATTTCCCTCCTAAATGACAAACCACTATTCTGAAAACCCATTAGAATTTCCCAAAGGAACCCAATGCTAATTCTCTTCTACATTCCAGCAGCTCTACAGGTCAGTGCTTCAGCTGATGATGCATGATGGTTGTGAGTGATATCAGGACCTTTCTGAGGTCCAGAGTCTCCGGTCTGCAGTAAAACATGCCCAGAGATGACTGCGCTTTCACACTAGCGTTCGGGTTTCCATCATCAGCTGCCAGGAGCCAAAGCCTGCCATAGAAATGTTAATCAGAAGTGCTTCACATTTTTATGCACAGATTTCTTGACATTATATTTTGCTGTGCTTGTTTCTCACCGCTCTGCTTCAGCTCTGGATGCCTCGACACCAAAACCCTCCAGATACGACCGGCCCAGGTTATACAGTGCTGCGTATCTGATACAGCCCACTTCAGACGAATCCCAGAATGCAACTGCTCTCATATACTCAATTGCTTTGCTCTGTTAAAGGTTTCATAAGAAAAAAATCAGTGCTGCTTTTACAATGAGATATTGGTAACTCTAACATTAACAATGAACATTAATTCTGCAGCATTTATTAATCTTAGTAAACGTTAATTTCAACATTTACTAATACAATTTTAAGATCATTGTATCTGTTAACATTAATGAATTCACTGTGAACATTTTCTATTAACTTTAAACATTAACAGGTATGTAAATCCTGTAAAAAATATATTGCTCATTGTTCATGTTAGGTAATGCATTAATGTTAACAAATGAGATCTTCTTGTTTCTGTCACTGAGATATTAATAGTATAATAAAGGAAATCTGAGCCGCTTTTGCAGACATTTTTTAAATTTATAACATCCGAAAAGCTTATTTTTTGAAATGTTGCATTATATGTTATTAATAATGATCTATTAACTGTATATGTGTGAGATATCATAATAACAGCAATATGGTCCTCACAAGGTCTTCTTTGGTTCCAAGGCCATCGTAATATATGACAGCCAGCTGATACAGAGCTCGAGGATCTTCATCTTTAATGCCATCAAAGATGATCTCTGCTTCTGCGTAGCGGCCCTGCAGAACACCAGATTATTCCTGAGATGTGTAACTACTATGTAATGCAGTAATGCTGAAAGCAAATTCTTACGTGATTCTGTCTTTGCATATTGAAACAGAATAATTGAGAGAAACTTTAAGGCATCAGTCACCTCCTCGTAGTGTAACTGTCCCAGGAGGAAGGCGGCTTGTGAATCTCCTCTTTCTGCTTTCTCTTTAAGCAGAATCACTGTCTTCTCCACCGACCCACCAGTAGTCTCTGCTTTAAACGTTTAAATACTATGTAAACGTAAATAAAATGATTTGTCATAGAGTTTTGGCTCTGATTACAAAATAAGAGTCCGTGAAACGTTGACAAACGTTTTGAGAAACGATCCTTTTGCGTTGCCGTAGTGACCCTCATGGCACAACACGGAAATGAGAATTTCAAAACACTAATCCGGCAGAATCGTCATTAATCGTGTGGATTTAGTGTCGTGTCTGTTCAAAACGACGGTTGAATGAGAAATCAGAAAGCAGGCTGGACAGCTGCCAGTGTTTGTGTTGTCTTATGAGTGTAATGAGTGTTGTTGATGACAGTTATCGCTCTTCATCATGAAGCTGAGTTCATCAGTATTTGCTTTATTGTGTCTCATATGTGAGATTGTGTCCATCGCTCTTTTCCTGAGAGGATTCTTCCCTGTTCCTGTCAAATCATCCTTTTCAGACAAGAGCAAAGAGACTGATTTTCCTGCAGAGCCACAGACGGGTAAACACACATACAAACACACACGCAGAATTATTATGCATTATGTTGATGGTGATGATTTTATAGTGAGGTATTAAGGCTAAATTATCTAAAGATTATTTTTAGTGATAGTGATTTGTTATTCATTCATTTAATTGATATGTAAAATAATTTTATTCATTTTCTGATGTTTTAGATAATTATTTTGTAGCTTTATATATATATATATATTTGTTATTTTTATAGTATAATTATATTTAATATTTTGTACATTTGTGCAGTATGTTTTGCCCATTTTGCTGTGCATCATATTAAATTTAAATTTAAAGTGATTTTATATACAAAGAAAGCATATATGCATAAATGCAAGTAACGTGTCTACTTAAATGTTTCAAATACGTTTTGTGAAAGTAAAATGTCGAAATATGCTTGAAATAATGTTCCGTTGTCATTCTGCATAACAGATATATTCATGTAAAAATGAAGCAACATACTTATTCTGACCTGTACATAAAATATTAAAATATATAAAAGAAGACATGATTACAGTAAATGTAATTTTATTTGAAATTATTATTACTTGCAGACAAATGGGTAAAACCTAGTGGTTTGTAGGATAGTGGCAAAGATGGGTAAAGATTTAAAAGTACAATTCATTTGTATTTGGGCTCTTTTAATTCTTGCTCTAAATATGCCTGACAAGATTTGTTTGGTGTATGTACTGTACTGTTGTTGCACTGAATGACATGGGTGTCTTCTGTAAATCATTGTTAAAATGTATGTTAGTCATTATTTTTGCTCAGAATTTTTTTTTTGAATTAAACAGGACACATTGCAATTTAAAGAAAAAAGTAATGATGCATCAAACTTTTATTGTTTTTATGCTTGAAAACCACTTTTCGTCTTTGAACCATATAAAGAAAACGTTTTTGAATTTTTATCATATGTTAATGTAAAAAAATCTTGTGTAATATAACTTGTGTTCGTTTGTTTGCTGGTTTTTATTGTATTTGTTATACTTGTATTTTTTGAATTGTTTTTGCCATGAACAGCATGCCATGAAGATGCTGACATGGCATTAAATAAAAATATACTACTACTACTTGAACCATATATATATATATATATGTAGGCTGTATTTCATTGTATACTTTTTGTACTTTTATTTATGTATCCCCAATTTTATGCAAAATAGCTAAATATAACCTATGCCTCAGTCTGTTTTATTCTGAATGTCCAAATCCGAATGAATTGCCCCCTGGGGATTAAGATTTAGGACAGGGGTGCCCAAACTCGGTCCTGGAGGGCCGGTGTCCTCAAGAGTTTAGCTCCAACCCCAATTAAACACACCTGAACCAGCTAATCAAGCTCTTATAGGCATACTAGAAACTTACCAGCAGGTGTGTTTAGGCAAGTTGGAACTAAACTCTGCAGGACACCGGTGCCCTCCAGGACCGAGTTTGGGCACCCCTGATTTAGGATTTAATTCCGATGTTTAGGGTGTTTTAATTTCAGCCTCACTACTAAATCCCCTTTTTTTCAACGTTTCTAATTCTAATGCTGAAATCAGAATTCATAACATACATCGTGATCACGCATGCAGCAGAGATTTCATGAGTTGTTATGTGTTCTGCAGGAAGTGGTCCTAACTCCAGCAAGGCTCCCGTGCCGTTGTTCAAGCGGGTGGTGATCGTCCTGATCGATGCTCTCAGAGAGGACTTTGTGTTCGGCTCTGATGGCCGGAGGTTCATGCCCTACACCAGACATGTGGTGGAGAGAGGGTCTTCTCACAGCTTCATCGCCAAAGCCAGACCGCCCACCGTCACCATGCCCAGAATTAAGGTGAATTACACACAAATCAAATCCTTTCCTAACCTAGTTTGTTTTTGCCTGTGGTTCCCCCTTCAGTATGAATCTATGGGGTGTTTTTGCCTATTTTATTGTCAACATATGTTATTATATTACTAATTCTAATTAATTTAAATATGTAATCATATTTATAATAATACTACTACTTATTATAATACTATATTATAATGTTTAATTTGATATTTGTTTTTGATATATATTGATACAGTATTTACTACAAATTAATTGAATGTTTTTTCGACAATTTATGTCAAAATAATGGCATTATTTTAAACAACCACAGTGTTGCATGTAAAATTTGTTCAAATTAATTGAAATAAATATTTAAAATTATTATTAATATGTAATAATATTTTCTAATATTTAATTTGATATTTATTTTTATGCTGCAAAATAATTAAATGTATATTCAACAATTTATGTCAAAATAATGGCGTTATTTAAAAAAAAAAACAGTGTTGCATGTAGACTTTGTTCAAATTAATTGTATTAAAAATGTGAAATTATTATTATTATTTTCAAAAATTAAAATTGATATTTATTTTTTTACGGCAAAATAATTAAATGTATATTAAACAATTTATGTTAAAATAATGGCGTTATTTTAAATAGAGCGAAAACCAATAGTGTTGCATGCAAAATGTGGGACACCGCTAAATATGTATAAATATTGAATAATATGCATATATGATAATATAAATTTAAATAACTAATTCTAATGATTTCTGATATTTAACAACAACAACAATAACAATAAACATTTAATAGTAATAATAACAGTTATTTTAAGATTTTTTTAAATTAAATAATAAATATTTAATTTGATATTAGATTTTATGCTACAGATTAATGGAATGTATCTTTAAATTAAAATTAAATAAAGTGAAAAACAAAAAACTGTGTTGCATGCAAAACACTGGGACACTGCTGCATGTAACTAATTCTTTATTGAATTAAATATTTTTAATTGAATTCAATTGAATTCAATAATTTAATAAAAGTTGTCACAGCAGCTTTGTGACTTTTTGAAAGAATTTGTGCAGGAAGAAAACACTGATGTTTGTTATTGACTGACATCTCTCAGTGAACTGGGAGTATTTGGATGAGGATGCTATAGACAGAAATGACTCGACCGTTTGTTGATGGCTTCTATTGTGTTTATTAACTCGTGCTGTAGCTCGAACCATATGTCGATCAGAATCATTGATTCGTGTGTGAGATGTTAGAGGTTCTCAGTGATATTTGTACAGGCATATCAGTACAGCATATCATGACAAAAAGGCAGAATCCATAGTTCTGCATCTGCTAAGAGTAAATAAATCCTGTAAACAAGTTTCAGGCCTTCCTGCTCAAGTTTTCCAGCATGCATCTCCTATGACCTGCATTCCATGAGTTGTGTCCTGACTCAAGTGTCCAGCAGATGGCAGTGCTGCTCTATCCGACTATCTTCTGTCATATCACTGCAGGCCTCTCAACTGTAAAGCGGTGTGACATGGCCAACTAACCCAAATTACAGTCGTCCGGAGATCAATCAGTCATTTATTTCTGCTGGTTAACGGGTTTGACCGCTGCAGGAAGGCCTAGAAGAAAGAGAAGCTTTTTAGAGCGAGAAATGCTGATAAATTGTGATTTCATGCTGCTCAAGACATCATGTTTAGAGATAATTTAGATAGTGTAAATGAGAGACAGTGCTAAGATATTTAGAAATATTTTTGTCTGAATTTATGCAATCCTGCTTTCTGCTGGCAGTGCTGCTCTGTCTGCTGTTCTCATTTCTTTCTCTAAAGTGGACTACAGAGGGTTGTTACTCTCTCTATATCACACCTTTCCACCTCCATTTCTTCAGGCTTTTCAATACTGAGACGGAACAACCCTCTCTGAAACAAGGGGTTTCATGACCCTGTATCACATTACACATACAGCTGTTTGTTTCTTATGGATCTCTCGTGTAATGCTCACTGCAGAAGAGCAGGACACACTTTCCATGAATAGGGTATTTTTCAGCAATAGTGGAGTGAAAGCATGCACTTAAACATCAAGAAAGACAGAATGAGTCACAGGGTTGCTGTTGGTTTGTAGTTATTGATAATCTTATATTTTTCATCAATTAAAGACAAATGGTTGTTTATTTATTTATTTTTTTACAATAACTTTGGTAACAGCGTCAGTGGTATTTTAGTATTATTAATATAGTATTATATATATTTTTAATAATAAAGTATTATTTTTGATATTTTCAGTTGATTTGAATTTTATTTAAAATGGATCATTATAATGTTATGTGCTTTTGTCATTATTATTACATTTTTAATTATTCTATTTAGCTTTGATTTATTTTTCATTTTTATTTTTTATTTATTTAAAAAAAAAAGTAAATTTAGTACTCCAACTTCAACTTATTCATTAATGTTAGTTGTCATTACTAATGTTTTAAGTTTTTCCTCTAATGTTTATATTTTATTATTTTTCTGCTTTATTTTAATTAACAAAAATGGGTTTTAATAGTTTCAACACTACAATCTGAAAATGGAAAGGATATTTACTTAATATTATAATGTTACTTCTTGACTTGTGTCACAATTTTATGGAATATTCCAGAGTGGTAACTGTTGCATGCAAATGTTGGATACTGTTAAATATGTCTAATTCTGATTGGTTTAATAATAATAATAATAATAATAATAAATATTTTATAAGGTAGAACAATACATTTAGTGTTAGGTAATATTTCTATTTTGTGAAACAAAATAATTGAATGTATATTCAACAAATTATGTCAAAATAATGACTAATTGTTGAGTATAATT